TGAATGGATCTACTGATTGGTCTCTTTATCTCTCTTTCATTCTCTCTCTTCTTTATTTCTTGTTTTTGTCTGTATCTTTCAAGAGTGTGTTATTTGTGAGTGTTATTTATTTTTGTTTTACAGTAATACTATTAAAATAAAGTGATGGATGCATGTTTAAATTACACCCACTTTTGCTATTGTTAATTGTTAACACGTTACACGCCCTCCTTTAATTTTGTGAAAAGCTAAGAAAAAGCAGGCTAAGCAACTCACTCTCGGTAGAAGAGAAAGCACAATCTCACGTCTGTTTCATGTTTCATTGCTGTTCTTCAACTCCTTAACATGGCAAAAGAAAGTGAGTTCTGAATTGTGTAGCTGTTTAGATGAAATGGTCTGATGGTGGTACGGTTAACTGAAAGTTGACATAAGTTTTGGCTACGCGAGACTAATTTGTTTGTGCTCTTTTGAATAGGCTAATTTTTTTATCAGTCAAAAATGTCATGAAAATCCTTTTGCCATTTGTTCTGCATAAATACACTCCAAAACTGTACTGTAATAAGTCAGCCTGCAGTAGGTCTATAGTCTTATTTAAAGTTATAGATACCTCTAGATCTAGTAATGCTTATAATTTGTATTACCTTGCTATGGAATTGTCAGAGCTAATTATTTTCTACCCTCCCCATCTTCCCCTGTTTCTGAGTTAATGGTATTTCCTTTTTTTATATTTCTCCATCCCTAGGCGCTTCAGATCAATTTAGAAGGATTTCTGCTAGACTTGCAGGCTCCATATCACCTTGTCTGACTACAGTGTCAATGTATCTTAATGCTAGGAGACTGATAGCACAGGAGCTACATGATGAAATGATTAATGGTCATGATATTGATGCAAAAAAAGCTGCCAAGCTAGTAAATGCAATACAGACTACTCTTGATTCCCACACTGATCCTGAGGCATATTTAAATGACGTGTGCTCAGCATTGAAAGATGTTGGAGAGAAACAAATCACTGATATAGTGAATGAATTGGAACGTAAGTTGAAATTGGTTTTAGCTACTTGTTATCTAAACACAACTAGAGTAAAGCCTTAATCCTCGTACACCATCGATATTCAAACATTTTTTCTCACAGTTGAGTGATCAAAAGCCGGTGGTTACAATTTTATCTTGTAGATCAGATGTTCCTCTACAGCTGTAGCAACTTTCATTGAGCTTTATCTTTGCTGTGATTTTATAATGAATTGTGAGTACAAATTTCAAACAATTGCATGTTCATGTACACCACATATATTTTCG